CGGGTGAGCTGACGGCGCGGTGCCTTGCAGAGCTGAGGAAAGCCAGCAAGAGGCTGACCTGCCACAAGCGCTACAAGATCCAGAAGAAGGTGAGTGCCGGCCCCCGGCTGCCCCGCTTCTAATTAAAGCTCCACGCTAACTAGTTTAATACTAAAGGCGTTTTCGCTATATCATTACCGAAACACGTTGTACGTGTGAACGTGCGCAATAAGGACGTGACACTGGACGTTAAAGGAGTCTGGACTGTAGTGCGGAACTTGCTTTCCAGTTACCATTGGCCAAAGGATGATGTAGAAAGGAGCGGAGGTTTTTTACATCGTTGCATTTTGCGTTGTTTTGGGCTGGTACGTTCAAGCGTACCTTTATCATGAGACATTATGCAATTGAAACACTTCAGTCTAAAGTCAGAAACGTACCCGTTTTTACTCTGTGTCTGCAAATAGGAGGGATGCATCCTTTTTTTTTTTTTGCCTTAGACTGAGAACACATTCTTGTTCCTGTCTTCAGATCAGAGAACACCACCGAAAAGTCAGGAAGGAGGCCAAAAAACGTGGACGCAAAAAGCCCAAGAAAGATCCTGGTGTTCCCAGTGCTGCCCCATTTAAGGAAGAGCTGCTGCGGGAAGCAGAGCAAAGAAAGCAGAGGGTAAATATGGTTTGTGGTAAAAAGGACCAGAACTGAGACCATTCCTATCTTCAAGGAAGCTGTGTGTGCACATGTCTGTGTCCTGAGGGGCAATCATGGTAGAATGCTGAAAGTTAAATCTTGGCATTATGTGATTATACAGGAAATAAGGATCCACTGTCTACAGCGTGGCATAATGGGACATGAGAGCAGCACCCTTATCAGCTGTAATGTGGATGCTGGACGGCCATTATTTTGGGGTCTAGCTAATGGATGTATTGCCTCTGGTTTTGAGGCAATTGAAGGCACCAGTTTTATTTTCAGGGTAGGATGCAAAAAAAGTTCCCAATGGCAATTAGACAGCCATGACTTCTAATTAAGCTGTTTCAGGAACTTTGGTCAGAAATAAGTAAATGGGATGAAAGAGTAGTCTTCCCTACCACCTTCAAATGTGTTTTATCTGGCTTGGGTTTTTGTTTGCCATCAGCTTGAAGAACTAAAACAAAAGCAGAAGCTCAACAGACAGAAAGAACATGAAAAGAAAAGGAAGCTGGAAGCTAAAAAGAATGCAGCCAAAATCAAGGAAAAAGCAGAAGGACAGGTAGGTGTCTGGTATGATTAGGATTCTTTTAGCCTATAGAAGCAATAAAAGTCATCCTGAAACTACATCTTAAGCCGTATGTTACGTTTTACATTTTCATACTGTATATGCACACAAGTATAATTCTCAGTTAAATCATTCCTTTTCATTTTTATTTGTATTCAGGAGTCCGCTGGCAAATCTAAAGCAAAGACTAACAAATTGCTGCATAAAAATTCAAAGAAATCATTCTGCAGGGAGCTAAAGAAGGTGAGATGCCTTGACTATTTTTATATAATTTGATGAGAGTCAGCAATGAGACCACTTGTTATTTACCTTTTTTTTGCATTACTGTGCAGCTGCTAGAGAGTATAAATGTTGTTTGTGATAAACTTCGACACTGAAGTAAGGGATTTTATGACAGAAACTGAGGGTTTCAGTCTTGTCTGGTGTGAGCTACCAGCACCTTGAGGCATTAGACATCTTGGGCCAATGTCAGTACATACCAAGCGATCAAAGAGCTCTTGTCATAATGAGGTACTAGAGTCTAAGGATTTCTTATCTTTGGAGGAAGAAGATGAAAATCACTTCAGTTTTCTGGTTTGCAGTTCAGAAGAAAGGGGCTCAGACAAGAACAGTTGTATGAAACCTCACCAATCGTTCTGTGAAATAGCCACAGCTATTCCAGAGTTGTCATCTGTCAAATGGTCTGTATTGTCTTATTTGAGAGTCTTCTCTCTTTTTTCTAACCTAGGTGATAGAGGCCTCAGATGTGGTTCTAGAGGTTTTAGATGCAAGAGATCCAATGGGCTGCCGGTGTCCTCAACTGGAGCAAGCTGTAACTTGCTCTGGAGGAGACAAAAAGCTACTGTTGGTTCTGAACAAAATTGGTAAGAAGCACAGGTTTTCTTGAAGCATTACTTGGCCACTGTGTGGTTCTGTGGTAGGTGAGCTATGAAGAAAATTTTAAAGGAATCTGAGATTCCATTGAAGACATAAGATCCAACTCTGAGCTCGCTGCCCTACTGAAGGGATCCCATTTCCTCCACCTTTTAGTCTAGTTTGCTAACACCACAGCCAGGTAAATGCACATTAGCTTCCTTTTCAGTAGCTTCTAAAGGCATTGGCCAGTTTCAGCCAAATTTGACGGAAGTTAAAGATCTTACCATTTTTAACATTTTTGTGAACATAGGTGAGTAGGCAGAGGCCACCATGCTGGTCCCCACTGAGGCAATGGTGAGTTAAGGATCAGCAAATCAATGCAATAGTTGGATTTGAAGTTTGGCTTTGGGAAGTATTTTCTCCCTTCCGTTGCTGCATGAAAGAATCCCCACAAAAGCAGGTGAAACCAGCTAAAAAGGCTGGAAATGACTGAGTTACCAGCAGCGAAGTAAGAAGAAAATACCAAAAGCGACAGCAAGAGCAAAGGGAACTTGGTATTAGAGTAGCCTTTGCAGGGATGATGGGATAATCCTTCACAGAACATCACTCTAACCATACAGTCTCCTAGCAAGACCCCAGCATTAAAAAACCTGATTCAGGGACCAAAAAACGTAACTCTGGTATGCTCTGCTTGAGGCAGAAAATAAAGACTAAAGCTTGCAACACTGGGTGCCTTTGGGGAACATACCTGGTACTTTACTATTCAGCCAAACATTATTTATCATAAACATACTAAATGGACAAAATACAGCCTGGTTCCTGATTCCACATTAGATTTCCTCCACACAGTGACATTTAACATTCACAGGAGTGAAAGGACTGTGCTCTTTTTTCCAGATTTAGTGCCAAAGGATAACTTAGAGAAATGGTTGAATTATTTGAAGAAGGAGTTTCCAACGGTTGCTTTTAAATCAGCAACACTGATGAAGGACAGGACCATGGTAAGAGTACTGAAGGCCGTCTCATGACTAAGTCTTATGTGTTTGCAATCCTAGATGTTGAAACGTTGAGAAACAGGAACTCTAGTTCTTTAAAATTCCTTTTCCCCTTGTTTGATGATACTGCTGTGACCGATGGATGTGCCTTTGCACTTTGACTAAGCTTTGTAGTACAGTGGGGAAATTCTTGCTGTTGAAATACGTGTTGTTACTTGTGGCCAGGATGCTGGACTAGAGTAAAAGCAGGTCTTCACTCTAAGGACAGTGAGGGGAGGAAGATGAGGAATTGTTCCTCTTCTACATAGGATGGTTGCACCAGTTATACCTCAGGCGTTTTGTAGGTAAAGTGGTGCAGGCTGTACTATGCCATTCCTCCCGTGGCCATCAGTAAAGGTAGCACCTGACATGATTTCATGAAGCATATAAGGGGGTTAGCTCCCTGTGCCCTAGTCTCGACTCTTTGAAGATGCTCATTTGAGTTGTATTAATACATCATTAATACATAATGCTTCGCATGTCTTAACCCTGATAACAGCATAGTGAAATGGACCCTCCTGCGAAATGGTGCAGAAACTGCAACGCAGAGAGTAGGTTTTGAAATCCTTCAAAAAATTGAAGTCTCTTGAGTGAACTTGTGGATTTAAGGATTCTACCATCTGAACATAAATGGTTATTTTATGGTCGCACAACAAACCTGCAATACAGTCTGAACTGAAATCACAAGCCCTATACGTCAGTTCACATTCCTTTTTCTCTTAGTAGTTGATGGCCACCTTTTTTTACTGTCACTTAACTGATTAGCCAATTTCTTACTAAAACTAATTCCTTCTGTTCAGAAGAACACAGTAACATCATCTAATAGAGGATAGGGGTTGGTAACATTACAGTAGATAAATAAATCTAAGCATATGTATTTATCTTCCTAAATAGCTCCTGACCATGGGATTTCTTTATCTTTGAATCTTGTAGCAGGAACAGTTCACCAAAAGACGTGCACGTGTTGATTTATCAAGAACCACTGAATGTTTTGGAAGCAAATGCCTTTTGAAACTTCTTCAAGAGCACGGAAAGACTCTAAGCAAAGCCATTCAGGTTGGGGTAGTAGGTAAGTGTCAACTAACGTGACTTGCTAATGGGCTTTCTAGTCATTGTTCCTACTTTCACCTAAGACTCGCTATTGTAGTACTTTAGTTGACAGCGATGCGTGTTGCACTTACATGCACGTAGTGTACGTGATCTGTGGAAGGCACATTGTGTGATGCCTTAGCTGATTCACAAGCTTAGGAAACGAGAAGCAGGTTACGTACCATGTAGCTTGCACTGTCTTCCTCCTGCCTGGTAAGATTTGTGGTGTTACATTCACCATTTTTATTATCGGCGTGAGAAATGAGGATACAAACTTTGTCTTACTTCTGTAGTGAAGACTTCAGATCCAACTCTGATCTCACGCTGAAGAGGTACTTTACCAAAGGCACCTGGAAGAAGCAGTTTTGATGTGTTACATAGGCTGAGTTTTATTAGTTAACTTACAAGGATTTATGTGGCTTTCTTCAGGTTTCCCTAATGTGGGAAAGAGCAGCATAATCAACAGTCTTAAAGGAGTTCGTGCTTGCAATGTGGGCCTAGCAAGAGGCGTTACCAAGTAAGCTGAGTCTGATAACAGCTGTTCATTTCCCTGTTTGTTGTTGGGTTCTGGTTACCTTGTGTTTGTTGTTTGTGTACAATTTCCATCCATTAGGGGCAAAGTATGTCCCTGTGTGCAGTTTTAAATGTGCATTTCAATTTGCCAGGATGAAAGATGCTCACCTGTGTGATACAAGCTGTCATGAGGAAATACAGCGTCTAAGCATTCTTTTTGTACTTTTAGATTTCTGTCCTATGCAAAGCATATGATGAGACAGCAAAGCATATGATGAGAAAGCACTGAAAATGACTCTGTATGAAGCGTGTTCAGTCCAACGCTGAGCTTTGTGTCTTGCATCCCTCCTCATCTCCAGTCCTTTGCTAGTTGATTTATCTTTACCTACTTACAGTGCATCTCTCTCTGAATAGGTCCATGCAAATTGTGCACATTGATAAACAGACAAAGATGTTAGACAGTCCAAGTATAATTGCAGATCCTTCCAACAATGTCCTGGCTCTGGCCTTGAGAAGTATCATAGATACCGAAGAATCAGATTCAGCAGATGTGCTTGAAGGAGTAGATGCCATTCTAAATCACTGCAGTAAACAGCAGGTGAGGTCCATCTTTTTCCACATCTCTCACTGCATTTGACTTCTCTGTAGGTTTCTTAGGCCAATAACCAAAGTTCATTTCTCTTCAACTAGTTCTGGTGGCTTTTGCACTGCTTTCCCCATACGGATTGGCAAACTTTGGCTGGTGTATCCAATGCTAAGTGTGATCTTTCATCCTGATAAATGGAAGGCAGAAAGAGCGTGCCAGGATCCCGTCAGCAAGAGTCTGTTTTCCAAATAACTAACTTGATTTTTTAAAAAACCCTCCTTTTAAGATCTTATCACAGTATCACAGAGTGAAAAATGAAGATATTCTGACTGCTTCCTATTATTACTGTGAAGACCTCAGATCCAACTCTGATTTCACTCTAGTTTCACATAGATTAACCTAAGCCTAATTCCCTATTCAGTTCTGCAATAACCTTTTTTTCACAAATGGGTGTGCTGTCTCTACACACCCACTAGTATGGGTGAATGGCAGATGAATTTGTTGATGAAGTAGGCATTTTGCTTTGTAATGTTTACTCCCACATGCAAGAGAAAAAATGGCTCTTTGCATACTTGTTCGTCCTCATTGTAACTCAATTTGATTTGCTTTTTTATTCCTAAAACTAAGAGAAAAGGTTATCTCTGAAAGCGCCATTTTCTTTTCCACTAGGTAATGATGCACTACAGCATCCCAGATTTCAGGAACACTGAAGAGTTTTTAAGTTTACTTGCTCAGAAAAGGGGTATGCTGAAAAAGGGAGGTGTTCCTGACATAGAGAATATAGCTAAATTACTACTTTGTGACTGGACAGGGTATGTATGCTATAAATTTTGCTTTATGTTGCTCACCTTTTTCACATTGTTAATCCAGCACAGCAGAAGCTCTGAGTCCTGAGAAGTACTTAGAGAAGAGAGGCTGCTTTTCCCTACCCCCTCACATTTTACGTGGATAAAGAGAGCTGGATTGGCTAACAGATTTAGAGAATGCCATCTATGGATAATTTTCTGAATTAGTGAAGGATACATGGAAGGAGTCAAAGCATGTTGCGCTTTACTCCATAGCTAGTTTTCTGACTTCTGGTCTAAGTCTGGTAGGGGAATTTGTCTTCCTCTCAAATACTGAGTGCATGTAGTCCTCTTCCACAGACAGGAAAGGATATGGCATATTTTCTGTGGGAATTTATAATGGTTCCTATATTCTGAGAGTGGGAATAAATATAATTTTGAATCAGTAATTGAGTGACTATTTCCCTTGCTCAAGTGGTTCAGCTGCTTTTACAGCTCATGATTTTACAGGCAGATGATTTGTGGTGACAAAGTATGCCATTTCTTTTGCCTCTCAGGAGTGGGCTATCCACTTAATACTGTTACAGACAACTTGAGTCAAATTTAAATAGCTATTTAACTGTTATTAAACAGCTTATAATAAATGAGTAGCTAGGTTGAGGAGTGTGAAGTGTTTGTGCTCTGGATTTTATTTTTAAATACAGTGATTTAACTGTGTTATTTTTGGTTGTTTTTTAATACTGATATTTTATTTTCCCAGAGCTAAAATAAGCTACCACTCACAACCTCCAGGATCTCAGAGACCGCCACCATATCTCACAGAAGACAAAATAGCTGAAATGCAGCAGTGCTTTAATTTAAAGAACCTAGAAGAAGAAAACAACAACACTCTTCAAGGTAGGACTGTTACTGTAAAGCACTGCTACCATTAAGAGTGGTAGTAGTAGGTTTAATGGGAGATTTTTGAACAGCAGTCCTCTTGGGGTTTATACGATAGCTTTGCCAATATGCTGTGAATATGAACCTTTTAAGAAAGAAATGGATTCTGATGCAACAGAACAGTGCCTCTGCGTGCTGTCTTAACACAAATTACCCCTGCTAGTCTTGTGGAAGGGAGGGGGCAGGACTGTCTTTTTCTAGCCCTGACCTAAAATGGCTGTCCTCCCAGGGAGCAGGCATTACATCTGGTACTGTCTAATAGTGTCTTAACAGACGACTTATGTTTTTCCCAGCTTTAAAATACCCCAGTCCAGCAAGCAGCATCATTTTCCAGTCAGCTGGTATGGCAAATGGGACAATAGAGGAAAATAAAGTGATAGAGGAAGCATCAGAGTGGGAAAACTTGGAAACAAGCAAGGAGGAGGAGGAAGAAGAGGAGGACGATTTCACAGAAAGTGATGATGATGATGAAGACGATGTAGAAGAAGAAGAAATGGATGTCAGAGAGGTAAATCGGGGTTTCATTAGGTTTCTTCTACCTGTTTAGGTCCTGGCACCAAGTACCCAGTCAGTATCTTGCTGTAAACTGAGAATGGCACTGTGGAGCCACCAGGAATAATCAAAGTGTTTCTCCTGGAGCTAAGGGTTGGGCTTTTTTGCTTAATTAAGGAAAGAAAATTGTTCAAAGTCAGTTTTAAGGCAGTGTGTTCCTGACCAACTATACAAGGGGACATTCACACTATCATCAGTCTCTGTTAGGTTTCATTTGCATGGGAGACTTCATTAGCGATGTCTGAATAAACATGTATGTCTGACCTCTCTCACTTGTAGGAAAGCAAAGTTCAGGTCACCAGGAAAGCAAAGCTTGGAAAACAACAAACAAGTGCTACAAATTCAGAAAAGCAGGTACCAGGTCTGTATTAAAACCCCTGGCTTGTGTTAGAGTACTAGAGACTCTCTCTCTTGTATTGGTTTCACTAACACATGATTTTTTTTTTTCCTAAGAAAACGAACATTCCAATGCACTATCATTCAGCTTGGATAAGACAGCAGATGAAGATGATGCCTATGATTTTAATACAGACTATGTGTAATGAGTGATGTCTGAAGACATGGTTTGGAGACTCACTACTGGCTTTCAGGACAGTCAGGAAGACTTGTGTTGCGGCAGAAGTTGGAGGAATGCTGCAAAGCAGAGCTGCTGCAAAGATTCACAATTATCGCTGTGTCAAATAATGTATATAATAGTGTATCTCCCTTGATCATTACAGACTTTATACAAATCTAGGAAGCCAACTGTATTCAGCTTTAAGTCTTAAACTTTATTTCCTGTATTAAAAGAAGTCTATTTTTAAAATTTCTTAATAGACTGAGTTAGACTGTTGACTTTGCCTTATAAAAAGATGTTTCAAAATGAAACCCTTTGTCTTTTTCTTTGAGAAACAATGGTAAATGTTTAATTCTAGTGATGTTCAAGCAATTAAATTCCAAGGTAAGTTTTCATCTTCCCTTCATAAAATTTAATTTAAATTTAATATAATCCTAGAGGATTACAGAGACTGTACCTCTAGAGCATGTCAGTAAGTTTTCAGTATTACTTTTGCAAAACTTGTAGTACTTTGATATATAAAGGTTGGCTAGAAAATGCTACTTATTTCAGCTAGACATAAAGTATTTTATCTAAGCACTACTTCAGAAGCTTCACTGCAAAAGGTACCAGATTACGATATTCGTAATCTGTCTTCACTGGGGAACAAGCTTCTTGTTCTTACAGCGCTCTTGAACAAAAGACCTATTTCCTGATGACATTTCCTATTGTACATGGCAACAACTGGTAACTGTAAAGCAGAACATTGCCCTGTGCAGTAAGAACCTGTTACTGCGCTCAGCCTATAGCAGAACTGGGGTGGCAAAAGAATTACCAAAAGGCCCTGCAGCTGCTCAATGAATTAAGCATTTAGAATAAACATCTGACACTTCGTCCCTATGCATTTGTTTTAACATTAACTTAAAGGTCTGGTTTCTGTGTTCCTTAATAGATAGTTTTATTTTCCCTAGATGTATGTTGAGCCATAGTCCTCCTATGCAGCTTAAAGAAATGCAGACACAGATGCATGCAGTTTATTTAAGCCTGCTAAAACACAGCCTGGTCATCAGAATTAAGTTGGTATCAGCTGATCTAGTACAATCTGAACTTAGTTCATTACTCCGAACCACTTCAAGGACAAGAAAAGGATAGATGACAAACTACAGATCAGCATCCATGACAAACAGAACAACAGACAGTGACTGCAATGAGTCAAGTAATTGGAAATCCCTTTTAAATTACAAAGCAGTACTAAAACAATATTCACACACACACGAACAAGCCCTTTAGCCCTCTGCTGCCCTGTATCTCAGACCACACACTACTGAGCCCATCACTGCATTAACACAAAGCCTTTTGGCTAAACATCTTGCACTGAGGACTGTTCACAAACAGTATTACTGAATAAAAAAAACAACTTGAGTTCAAACCTATATTAAATGGAATAATTGGCACAATAGCTGCTGGGATATAGCAGCTAATAGTAATCTCTACTCAATACTAGAACTATAAAAAAAAACCCAACAACTTACCTATAGAAAAAAGGTGATGGGCAGCCGGCTGCAAAAGGACACAGGAATCTCGCTGAGTTTAAAGGGCCAGACTGGGAAAGGCACAGCAGGAAAATCTTCTACAGCAGAGCTGCGCTCACTTGAGAGAACTATGAGGAACTTAGTAACAAAATTAATCTGTAATTCATACAGCTTGATCCCCAAAATAAACAGCTTGCACAATTTTAGAATGAGATTGCTTTTACAAAGATGAGATCAATTTTTGAGTTTCAATTACTTGCTACTGTATTTAAGTATAAAGGAAACACACTTTGTACATCAGATCAAGACTTGAATCATACTGTCATTTACCCAAGGCTTAAATCAACATGTTAAAATTAGCTTTTATTTTTGAATGGTTTTCTCACTTTACAAAAAAAATGTTTTAGTGTTCACTGGCAGTTAAAACCTTTTTGCATAGTGAAATAATACTTGAAAAGAATAATCTTTCAAAAAAACAAGATTAAATTTTGCAGAATTCTGCAAGAAAGACTTACACAGAAATGGTTGGGAGATTTCATGCAAGAAAGGGTTGTTGATGAAGCGATTTCACAGGATAAGAAAACAAAACAAAACCCAAGCAGCTCTTCATTACAGTACATTGCTGTGCAAGACTTGCATGGTGCAAGCACCAGCCAAAGTTGTATCTTGTTCTTAGAAATTCTTTCTGTAGCTGACAAAATGATCCTCCTCCAGAAGACTTGTAGCAAAGAGCAGAAGACGACATGACAGACAGACATGAACTAACCAAAGTGCTACTAGTTTGTGGAGATCCTCCCTTGCTTTCTATAGTGCTGGAGTAGCATCTTCCATCACACAAGTGAAGTGTCTCTGTTGCAGCTGTGCCTTTCAGAACTGCACCTGAATAAGTGCATCACCTTGTGCTCCAGAAGGCAAGGACTGCTCTCTAATACAAGTTGGCTAAAAATAATTCTGTTTGGCTCCGGAAGTTTCCTGAGAAAATGCCATCAGTTGTTAAGATTGACTCTACTTTGCTTCATAAGCTTCTGAATGTCTGCGGATCAGGCTGAACTTGCCTGTAGGGTCAGGGACATACCACTTCTCCCAGACTTCGGCATATGAAGCTGTTCTTCCCCATGGTTTGAAATGTCCATTCCAATGAAGCAGCTTGGCAGCTTTCACAAACTGAGGAGAGTACCTTTTTCCAGCACTGGACCCTGTTATCGAAAAAGAAGCATTAGTGCCTGAAATAAGGGCAGCAGAAACACCAACATGCAATATTTTAACTTCAAAACAAGGGATTTTAACGAAAAGCAAATCTTATCATTTAGGGAGAAAGGAGAGGATATGGGAGGCAGAAAATCAGGGCAAAGGGAGAAACGCAATGCCACTTTGATCTGTCTCAGAATCTGTTTTAATGTACTGCCTTAACTTCCAAGTTCTTTAAAAGCCCCTTAATACCCAGATATATTCAGTAGCCTATGTATTGTTCATTGGAAACAAAACTTAAGAAAGCTCTCCCAGTACTGGCATTTTATCAGTAGCAGAACAGACAGAAATGTCTGTTCCTCTCAACAATCTTGGAGGAAATGCCTAGGATCACTTCAGATAAAATATATATGTTGAAAAAGAAAAGGAAAATGCTAAGTAATTTGAGAGTAAGTCAGTTCAAGAACTATCCCCCAGCAGTTCAAAAAAGAACATGAAGGATCAGGCCCACAAGCCCCAAGATGGTATTGCAAAGCAGTGTTTCTTAAAGAACAAGGTATAAAATAGGGGAAGAAAAGATCCATTTGCTGCATCACCAATTATGCGTCCAGCTACAGATCTGGAAAACACACTGGAGGAGCAGTGTAACAAATGTTTCATACATACCAAGATGCCGGACATTCCACATGGGATCAATACTGGAATGTTGTTTGTAAAATACAATTAGCAGTGGAGGTGTCGTAATGCTGCCAGCCAAAGTCCTACTGTAAAGTTCTTCTCTGGAAGATGAAAAGAAGTTGGGAAAGGATGCTTGTGTGGCCCTAAATCAGTTTATTTTCACTTGCAGTTGCATGACAGGAATCCACAGATACATACACAGCCCTTCATTTAACAGCTAAATGCCATGACCATAACCCAATCCCTGACCTGCTGACCCCCCCAGCTTGGGTGTACTTACGCTACATTAAGTGCCATCCACTTCTCCAATTGCTTTGTGATGTTCTGTAATTTCCATTCTGTCAAATTGGCAACAAAAACGCCTGGATTGAAAGAGCAGGTGCTGGCTTTCATGGCAAGCTTTCGGATGGTTTCTTTTTTGTAATCTAGAAACCCAATGTAATTATACTGGAAAAAAAGGAGAGTAGAAATTAGCTTAAAATATGGTCAAATTAGTACTTAAAGAAAAATTTTGCACGACTCCCAACAGACAAGCATAACTTGAAGTTGTTAAAGCAAATATCCCTTCCTTTAAAATGAGAGAAAGAAAGCATAAGGGGTCTAACATTTTTAAAAATGTGATTATATAAACTACATACTTTAAGGAATGCTGCATGGTCTTAATAATACCATATTATTAATATGGTACCACTCCCAGAAAAAGTACTTTTTATACACTCACAAATGAAAAATTCTCCCTCTGATGTTTAAGACTTCCTGCTGTTCCACACTGGGAATTGCTCTCATTGTAAAGCACAGCAAAAATTCAAACTGCTTTTACTGTGGCCAAACAGAAACTGCAGGCGTCGTTTGTAACACAAACATCAGAGTAAATTGATTTGGGTAGGGACAGTCACACCTTTAGGTTCGCTGTATTTGGAAGTCAACCTGCAAGAACATTAAAACTGAGTGCCTGCTTTCAAAGGCTGGGATTTACAGTTATTGTTACAACTGAAACAGAATAAAACTAACCTGATTGCCTGCTCCACGGACAGCAACTTTATTAGTGGTCGAGTCACAATCATCTGAAAATGCAGCTGCATGTCCAGGTTTCAATGGAGTGTTGTAAAGCTCAAGAATATCATCTGGAAAATGGAAGCAAGCACAGAAAAATTAAAAGCAATCCTCATTAAGTGCTGAGTGGCTTTCTGTTCAGTCCGTTGTTCCAGCAGATAAAACCACTCAGTTTAATCCAACTCATTCATAATTACAAAGTTTTTACATCTTTCCTTGAAGAAGCGTTTGGTTACTGTGAGAGACGGCATGCTGAGCTCAGCATAACGCCAGTGGCAAAGGGCTAAGAAAAGGTCCCATACCTTGCACTATTATGTCATCATCCACATAGATGGCCTTCTCTGCATGAGGTACCAAACTGGGCAAGTAGAATCTTGCAAAGGTTAACTGTGAAAACAAGAAAATAAGACAAGTGAAGAATTAAATGAAAAATTGTCCAAATAAATGTGAAACTGACTGATACTCCTGGCACTTATTTGTGGCACTAATGTCCCAGACAACTTCTATCAAGGAAGTAAAATAGGCAGCAATATCCTAGAAGTTATTTAAAATAAAC